CAAAAACACAACAAATTTTAGAGTAGAAACTAAACTGTGGACTATTTTTGTGCTTCAAAATTAAGATAATGTTACAACCCTGAATTTACACAGGAAATAGCATTAGTGTTTTGACCTTTTTAAACTTACATCAACCTTACCTATACTTAAGCACAAAATAAGTGGAATCAAAATTAATAAACTGAAAGGCAAATATGAGTTTGAGAAATTATAGAACTTTTCTATATTTAAAAACATCTATGTTTAACAAATTTGAAAGTGGAAAAAAAGTGGTATTTTAGGAAACATTGATGATCAACGAATTAATAATCTTTAAGTTGTGACAGTAATAAATATGGAACACACAAAGATGAAAATGCAGCTACCACATTCTGAGCACTTTCTGTGTGTAGGGAGCTATGCTGAACACACAAGCTACAAAATCTGTTAGTCTTCAAATCCATCTGAACAGGGAGGAACAAATCTCTGACTCTGCTTATCAATAAGAAAACTGATGTTTGGACATTCAGTATCTTACCTAAGGCCAAGCAGCCTATGAGGGCCAGGATTTCAGCCCCTGATCAAGTTATAGAGCTCTTAAAATACTGCATAACTGTAGAAACCATAGAATCCTTAAGTGATGGAACACAGCATTATTTTTTACCATCACTTATAATCAAACTGAACAGCTACTATAGAACATAACAGATAGCAAAAGCAGTTATGCTACCTATTTTTAAAACAATCTAAATGAGAGTACTTTCAAAATAAGTATTACTTTATTCTGTAAACACAGTAAAATGTCATAAGAAAGCTGCTACCTGTATAAGAGCAGCACATAAACCACGACAGCAGACAAAGAACCCAAAGCAGACATTGCCTGACTCAATCTCCTTTCAGGGCAATAAAGCCTTTCTTTTCCATTTTTCACCTTCAAAAGACTTTTTCAAGAAGAAATTCAGAGATGTGAAAAGCAAACAAACTACCTCACTCCTGAGATGAACGTCCTGTCTGGTTAATGTTAGCTATCAGCTGCTAGGCAACCTAGTGTCATGGGTTACTAACTTCAGAAAAGTGTAAATAAAGGACAGTATTTTTTGTGAAAAATAAAAGGGAAGGAAAATATATATATTCATATATATGTATACACAAGACAGTTAGGATAGATATACAGCTACTTTCTCTTAGTTCACTGAGAATAAAAGTTTATACTAATACTGTTTTGGCTAGGTATCATGTGTGCATCTTGTCCTCTGAATAACTACTATGAAGACAATATGCAATGTATTAATTACTATAAAAGTCCTACTAACCTGTTTTAAAACTCTTTCAGTGCTGTTTTATCTTTTTTCTCATTAAAATTAATAAAAATTTAAAAATAAAAAAAATTTAAAAAGAAGAAAAAGTTAATCAAGGAAAACTTAACAAAAATGAAAAAAGAAATAATATCAGAGAGATGCCATGTCTTAGAGTTTCAGTTTGATTAAAAACTAAACTGGTAGGTTTGAGGTTCTCAGATTCCTATTTTAATAAAGGAAACTTACAAGATCAGATAAAAAAAGATATCACAAGACTTGTAGAATTTGTTTTCTTATAAAATAAATAAAACTCAAGAGAATTTTGTAAGGAAGAAAATACAGAGATCAGTCAAAAGGCTTGCTTTTGAAAAGAAAGCAATGCAGCATAATGTAGGTGTGCAGGGTTAGCTCCAGGCCACCTCAGTGTGCAAGAACCACTGTCATGATCAGCTGAGTGATCTTGGCACACAACTTTTCTCTCATTTCCTTATTTCTAGATTATGAATAACACTACTACCATCCGTAGAGAGGATTAAGTGTGGTAATACACATACAATTTAACACTATGCCTGGCACACAATTGTTCCTCATTATCATGAGAAAAAGCAAGAGCAGAACATAATAGCAGGGTTTCAAGCTTCCTGAGTATCTTCAGAGTCTCTTCTAACTATATTTAATCTGTATAATAAAGGAATCAAAATTTGATTCCCAAATAATATATGAAATGTTGAAGGTTTTGTTTATGTTATCTGAAAAATTAGCAATGCTGTGTTGTCTTGAACTTCATATTCTCCTTGAACTGGTTTGAACTTGAAAAGTACACTTCCACTCATTCTAGGATGCACTGGAAAACAGGGAAAAAGAATAAAAATAAACCCCTATGAAAGAAGTGTGAAAAAATTAGGTTTTGATTCACAAACAAGTAAACTTCTGATCCTTGCATTTATTAAATTGAAGCAAAGTTTAATTTTGATATATAGAATACTATTTTATTATTCATTTTAAACTCTTCTGCTTAAAAAATACACGGGGGTTCAGAACAACCTCAATAAAATGACAACATTCTTAATGATCTCTGAAGTCCAACCACCAGTGTGCAAACATGGTTGGCTTCAAAATTAAAGACCCACAGGCACATTTCATTAAATGCATGTCATAAAACAAGGAAGTTATAATGCCGAGAGAAGAAATACTCAGTAGTGCTATATAAAATTTGCAACGTAAGAAAAAAATAAGGTATAAATGTTCTACTGCTTATACCTGCTTCATTATTAATTCCTTTAATGCCACTTTACTACATCTAAACCCCTGACTCTTTATTACATAATATCAGCACACTGAAAAATAAATCTCTACATCTGAAAACAGCTCTTTATAAAATACAATACTGATAGCGCTTGGTTGTATTTGATAATTTAATTAAGTATATCATATAATCTCAACAGCACTAAGAATGTACCTTCATCTAATATAAATACGTGAATAACAACTACACAAAAGTATTTTCTTTCTAAAATAAGTTCTTATATATACTTTTCTCAATGTTGACAACTTAAACAACATTGACTTCTATATTGTGCTAAGAAAACATTAGGCACAGATCACATAATATGACTTACATTGGCTTCTAAATAAAAAACTTATAGGCACATTTCATTAAATGCATTTTATAAAACAAGGAAATTATAATGCCGAGAGAAGAAATATTCAGAAATACTATGTTAAATATATAGTATGTGCAAATGAATATCACATAAATGACTAGTGGATACAACAGTAAGCAATTATAACCTTGCACAAAAAATTAATGTTTTACTTTTTACAAAGAACATTCCATGTAGCATTAAAAGTGATACACCACTACTGAGTATCCTGTATCTCAATTAGAATTACTTGTGTGTTTTCTCAAAAAAGAAAAAAATGACACCACATTAGGCACATGAAGTAACACCAAAGAAACAAGAGAAAACTGTTTCAGAAATACATTAAAAATATTTGACCTAGTCTCCCCAATAAGTGACTACACTGCTTCATTGGAAGGAATAAATTATTTAACATTATGATTACTTTATATATTAGTTTCTTACTTTAGTTCACAGAAAATTATAAAAACACAAACAAAAAAGTTGTGTGACAAACCATAAAATGCAATGCTTACTGTGCATCTTCCACAAATAAATCATTTATGTTTTGTAAATTAGTGTGTTTTAAAAGTATACTTGGATAAAAAAGTTATATTTGGCCACATATATAATATGTAGCATTTTTTGTAAAGAACAATTTATACAAATAATTTCCACAAACACAAAGAGAGACATGGAAAGAAACAAAATGAGAAACAAAGAGGCAGAAAACACAGAGAGAAAAAGAGAAGCGCCAGCCAAACGGCTTGCTTATGTCCTGTAGGAGACTTGAGACACTTTTTTCATCCTCAGTAATGAACTTGTATTATCACTGCACATTTATATTCATAAACCAATTTGCTCATGAGATTACCCTGTATACATCCTTTCCTTCAGCTTTCTCCATGAAAATGGTAGAGAAGGGAGGAAGGAGGAGGGAGGAGGGAGGAGGGAGGAGGGAGGAGAGGAGAGGAGAGGAGAGGAGAGGAGAGGAG